TACTTTTCCTGTGGCTGTAGATAAAATACAAAATACTCATCAGACACACTCAGTTTCATTAAATCTACCCGGTATTTTGCAAAACAAGAAAGGAAGAAAAAACGGTAAATTAAGATACTTACTTCGTACTTTAAGAAGAAGGTTTTTGCGAGATCTCAGGATATTTACCACTTCCCCATGGGTTGAATCAGCAATATATAATCCATTAATACTCAAAATTTCATCACCTGCCTGAAGAGAACAGATCGCAATCAGATACTTGCACACACACCCAGGTAAAATGAAGCAGAACCATCAAGAGTTTAGTTGATTACTTTACAAGTCAAATATTACTGCTTTTTGGGTTTAGTCGTGCACAGGAGAATAACCGTAAATCAGGTGGTCCTTCTTCCTTTTTTCTTTGGTAGGCGAGGGGGGGAAGGACCTTGTTGTTCCTTATTTTCCCAGATCAATTCAGGTTCCTGGGAAACTGCCCACCTACCCCTCCCCTAAGCTAACATTGGCACTTTTGGCTTAGGGGAGGCGTAGGTGGGCAGTTTCCCTGAAACCTAAATTGATCATTCCCTTTCCCTGTCCTCGAATTTCGCACTTCCCCGAAAACAAAAAACCGCCTTAAGGCAGGTTAACACACAAACAACTTTCTCCTTCTCTCTCGACATGGTTTTAGCTTTTCTAGTTTGTTTGCTTTCTGTCAAAGCACTTATTAGCCCTCTTTTCTGCAAGAGGTTTTCGCGAAAGCCCATGGATCTTAACAATACTTTTAAGGAAGTACCAGGGTAAAGAGACAAGTTTCCCCTTTAAATAATAGTCAAAGCTAAATATTTTTTTCGAGTGATTTTTGGGCAGAACTGCGATCATTCAGGAATGCTTAGAAGATATTTAAACTGATGACAAGTGGTACAACGCCGTTTCACACGGGCCGTTTTGTGTGTTTCTGGTGTAATAGACGGGATAACTGATCATCCAGTATTACATGCATATCATCCTGTTTCTAACTCTTTATCAAATCCAGAGCATGTACTGATTAATTTTTCTCATGCTGACACTTTCCGCTTCAAACATACTATTCCTAATGCTTACATGTACATTCAATAAACCGTCGATGTTTGGGTCTTTCAGTGAGTTAAGACCATGCAGCAATAATAGTACACTGTAAATACCTTCAGTCCAACTAGGTCAGCCTGAGATCCTCGAGAAACGAGAGAAACAAAAATTCCGACCCCATGCTCTCGTCCTAAACAAAACAATTTAATACAAATTATATCCAAATATAATATTGATAACTAGATTTATACCTTCAATTATGCATCAAGTTAAAGACACGCAGAAGTACAGTTTTCCTGCATGTACATTGTGTGACTGTCTGTGGCACCATTTTACGAACACTTTTCCACTTAGTATTATTGTCTTAGAAATGACGCGCTCCTTCCCAGAAGGCAAGGCTACATTAGGGAGCTTAATCAAGACGCTTATGAGCAAGGCGCACGTCAACTGAAAGTGGACATAATTTTTGCATTTTTTGGTTGCTGTGCACCCAAATTTTCAGGCAGATTGTCTCAATAAGAGCAAATACACTTAGCAAATACATGTACAAGGCATTAGAAGGACTGCCACTTCTGGTTTGACATGCATTGCTGAAAAACACCTGTGCTTGCTCTGATGAGAGTGGAAATTCAATTTTGTAATTTATTATGGAATGGCTGACCCATACCACAGAGAAACTATCATTTTATTTAGCACTACGCAGCAAGTTCTGATCTGGAGCTTGCACATTGGTGGACTATGAACCAGTCCCTTCTTTTTTGAGTGGGAATTTTAGTGACAGTCATCTCCCGATGAGTTATCATGGATTGTAAAAACTATCTATTGGATTAAGTGGGACCTTAATCTGGGAACTGATTAAGAAAACTGGAACAACTACTACACGTACCTCCACGAATACTGAAACCTATGCCTCCATTTCCAAAGTGTTGCAACTTGATAAGACGTATGCCATCACTACAACACAGTTGAATTTAATGTCCTTAACCAGTGGTGGATCAGGGCGTCAGGTCTGATAGGGATAGGGGGGGGTCTGGACTTGCCAGACCCCTGCCATATCAGACCTGAAGCTTGTTTGAGACTGAAATTCTTACATTGACAGGATTGTATATTGCTTTTTGACTGGCTGATTTTTTTAAAGAAACTTGCATTGCATTTTGTGAAATCTGTACAATCTTTGTTACCAAGCACAAGAGGAGGATGTTTCAAGGTTGAATGCTTTATGAGTAGAATTCAAGTGCACAGGGTGCCAAGGAATTATAACGTGCAACCGCAACCGGTGGGAGGGGTGTGGGGGTTGTGTGTGAGAAGTATTGCCACAAAAAAGAAGGGCAATGTTGTTTGTCTCAAATCTTACGTGAAACAGTTTTATTTCTCAAAACAGTAAACTGAATGCTCTATTTAGGCAATGTTTTGTTATGTTACATTCTGATTTATAATCTAGAAGTATCTTTTAATTTTAATTTAACATTTCTAGAATTAAATGTGATTAAAATGTTCACTGTGCAGTAAAAACTGTTTTTTCCTTACTTCCAGCTATTTTCTTTGAGCTCCCGATAACTCGAACTTTTTTCGATTTCCCTTGAAGGTTCGAGTTATTAGGACTGGAAGTAACTCCTACTGCACAAGTGAATGTCAAAGAGCTAAACATTGTGCATTGTTCAGTAAATAAAAAAAATTGTCTCTGTCTTAAATAATCATCAAATTTCAATAATTTAGGCTACTGTTTAACAAAATATAGTATTTTTTCATTTTCCAATTTGTACTTAAAGACTTTGAATTCATAAACAGCTTGTTTTTATTAGTCATCAACGGCAGTGAAAGTGGTTGATTAATATACATGTAATACAGTGAATTTTAAAATTTATATGCCTACAGAGTAACATGATATCCAAAAAGACAATGACTACAATACCTTGGTGACTTAGGAATCAAATTCAGATATGCAGAAGCATCTGTGGGTTTTACCAAATATCTGTGGTAGAATGATTCTAATCAAAGGTTTTTATCTATATGGTACTAGTTGGGAATTCTAACAGAATTATTTAATGTACGGTATATTTTGTGTTTAAAATACAACAATTTCCAGTACCATCGTTTTTTTGTCCACAGGATAGTGGATTGCAGTTACTTAGATGAAATCAAATAATTGTTTGGCGTCTAAATAGACGTTTTTTAAAAATTAAGGCAAAAGAGGCAAAGACTTACTCTACAAGATTTTCGAGTCCTTTCATTCTTAGATCATTGGACAGTCAGCTGACCTTGGTTTTAACACCAATTATTTTTTCTTTAACATCTTTCCCATCCATCTATTTTAAGTACATTGTATAAGTTAACCATTTTTACACCTTGATTGTAGTTTTTTTCTCAAGCCTAATTCACTTCCCTGTCTGGTATATATTCTGTACATACCACAGACTAAAGATTGTCATCATAAGGGAAACCATAAAAAATGACCCCAAATACAACTAGAAATAATTAATAGTTAAATTAAAATAATCCAGTCCATATAAACTAATAAGAACTTATTTTAATGCATAGCATTTGAAAACCTATTATTTTAACAGTGATGAATAAATCATTGACACTCAGTCGAGGAATTTAGGGACCTTTCTGGAATTTCACAGACACCAACTATTAAATTAATTGGTAAGCAATATAATTTTTTATTCTTCTCACACTTACCTTACTTCTCTAAATAGTGGATATCTTTTCGGAGTGTTAATAACAGCTTTCAGATCATTGACAAGTTTCGAAATCGAGCTCGACCTAGAAAAGGAACATTGCAATTAAAACAATCTACCCCAAGCATACCAAAATAGAGTATTCAGATCATGAGTGGGAGGAAGGGGGAACAATACCATACAAAAGTGACATCACAGGGATGCTGATTTTGACCTCACATAGGGTGTTAAGGACAAAATGTCAACAGAACATCAATATTTTAACTCATAAAGGTATTGCTTTGGGTTGTGCAAAAAAGTATTTATACTTATGAGCAAAAAATGATGAATGATCTTCTCTGGGGATCAAATAAAGCTTCAGAGCCATTCCCAGATTGTTCTCCTTAAAAGGATTTAATAATTCTAATTTTCCGACAAGAATCCCCCTCTCTCTCATATGGAATCCCCCCTTTGATTTAATACCCACACCCTCCTCCCCCCCAATTGATGAGAATTTCTGCAGGGTCTTGAAAGTTATTTCTGAAGGGAGCAGCTGTGTTGGCACCTTTGATCTTTGGAATATTTCTGGAGGGTAAGGGTAAGAAAAAAAATACCCTTTTTTTCTGAAGGGAAGGGGAATGGGCTAATTCTGAGGGGGGTGGGTGGCTATTAAATGGAATGGCCTAGTTCAGAACCAATCAGAAACGAGGAACATTTCTGAATGAATAATAAATATGGTTAGATTATGGACTTTCTACGTTAATTTAGAACAATTTTAAGGCTTACCCTTGATAGCCGCTGAGAGCTTCATAAAGCGTAGCTCTCTCCTCATCATTCTCAATCAAGACTTTGACCTTGAATGAAATCAATAAAATATTATGCTCAAAAACGCGGGTTTTCGATTAAATCAAAATAAACTGTGTAATCAGTCCAGACATTTTGACGGAAAACGTTTGGCAAAGTGTTACCTTATTTTTAAATTCGGTAGCATGTTTGGACAAAGTGTAGCGATTCTCTTGCTCAAATCCGCGCTTCATCGTAATGATAAAGATCGCCCAAAATGCGCCAAAATTTAGGTCGGCAAAATCGAAGCTTCCATCGAGCTTCCATCACAACAACACTGACAGAATAATGAAAACGAGGCCAAAACATGAAGCGTTAGTGCTTTTGGTCAGCGACTCCAATAATATGACGTCACCGGAGCTTGGTTTTGGCCGTTCCATCATTGAATCATTTTGAAATATGCGTTGCTTAGAATCGAATTTATTGGCACTCTGGAGGAATTAGAAGGTTAGAATGGACGTAGATTGCGAGTTAGACAGTGACCTTTTAACGAAGTTCAGCTGTCTGGGAACGACAGACCGCGATGTGCTTATAAATGAACTGCAAAGATTGTTGGACTTCCAACTCAATCCGTCAGGTTGTGCTTTCTTCCTTGATATGACAAATTGGTAAGCCTGATTATCGACACTGATTATTACATGTGATTTTTCGTTCTCGAATGTTTACAGCTTGTATTTTCTAAAAATTGAAAATTCTAATATGTGGTTTTCTTTTAACGCCATTTCCTTCGTCCCAAGGAATCTACAGGTAAGCTGACAGTAAACTTATCTTTATTAATATGTAACTTACAAAAGCTTTGCTAAGCAAAATAGGTTAAGTTTTGCTAAAAACATGATACATTGTGTATGTTTTGTTTAGAACTTAAATAATCTGATAAAACAGTATTAATAAATCGTCTTTTTTCGTTGGTTATATTTTCTTATCAAAATGACTACGCTGCGAATATTTGGGTATTTTTATTGTTAATGTTAATTTTGTGGCTATTTAAGCTTTGATAGGATTCGTTGGTTAGACACATGTAGTAAAGCAATCAGTGTGCCACAGTGATAATTTGAATAAATTGGTGCACTTGTAAATCACTGAAGTAGATTTTAATGGCTGTCTGGCAATATATTTTGAAGAATCACTCATAAGTTCTGCACTTCATGATCAAAAAATTATGTCAGTTTAATAAATTTCTGTTAAATTGGAATTTCTAGCCATAAACTTGCAATACACTGCAAGGTATAGCTATAGTATAAACTGTATTTTTTTTTCTCCTGGTTGTCCAATTTGCTTGAACACAGCCTATCAGATAAAGGTCCTATTCAGTGCCTTCATTAAATCTAGCTATATGTAGTTATTAACTGTATGAAAGTTCACTTCATTCATCTTTTTGTTTTTTAATTTCTCTTTTTAGGCAGCAGTAGGCGCATATTATGATTTTAACAGTCCCCAGGAAAATCTTCCCAGTATGGCGTTTATGCGGGATGTTACTATAGGAGAAGGAGAATCTGTCCCACCTAATACAACTTTTTTAAAAACGTGGAAAATTCAGAATAATGGTAAGAGGCTCATAGTGTTCCAGCACTTTAGTTAGTTGGAATGAGCAGAAAGAAAAAGCAAAGCTTCCATGAATGCCATTTTTATTTTACCCTTCCAAAACGAGCCTTCGCTGCTTTTGGCGTGTGGGTTCTAAGAAGGGTCATGTGATATTCAAACTGGACCATTAAGAAGAAATGAAACAACTGGGGAAGGATTCTTCTCACCTGAGTCCTAACCACTACCCCCACTTTCTTTTTTGTATTTTCTTACTAACTGAGAGCCTACTTTGAACAGGCTAGGATCTCATACGGTAGTGTTGTTTTGATATATACTACTTGTTAACCTCATCTGTTCGGTCATTACAGCAGACTTAACTGTAAAAAAACATGTCACCTCAATGAGTTGTACACTTTAGCCCACAATACAGTCAGATGACACTGGTCAGCAGATGCCCTTTTTGACAGAGTGTCAATTGACCATAACATGGATTTCTATCACTAATGAAACTTACAGCAAAGTACAGCTTTGGAACAAGAACATTTAAACCTGCGATCGATCTCACCCGGACTTGCTAACCCTTGGCTATTACTAGCTCTGAAAGTTACTGTTTTCTTACCAGGTAATAGTGCATGGCCCATTGGGGTTTTCCTAAAGTACACTTCAGGGGATCAACTAGGTCCCATAAATATGGTATCAGTAAAACCTTTGGGTGCTGGTGAAGAATATGATCTTAGTGTAAACATGATATCACCTGGGAAAACAGGCATGTACCAAGGTCAATGGCGTATGTGCACCCCCACGGGGCAATATTTTGGAGGTGAGTGAGTTGTTTACAATATTATTTAATTCATGTTTGAGGTTAAAGAACTACATGGTAGTACACCAGCAAACTTTCTGTGTATAATTTTCAAAGGTGCCAGTGGCTTTAAGGTGATGTTACATGAGACGATTCGCAACAACGAATGTATTAGCACAATACAGCATTGAAACATTGTTGCGCTTTGTTTCGAATAGTTACAACACTGTTCCAACATTGCAATGCTGTGTTGTGCTAAAAGTCGTTGTTGCAAATCATTTCATGTAACATCACCTTTAGTGGCTTTTATCTTTGCTACATGTACAATATCTATGTGAAGGGCCCCCAAAAGGGATGTACATGTAGCTAAGGTTTGCTTGTTCCCAGAAGAACTCAAACCTTTATGATAACAGACCAGGCAAAACTGAGAAACTGGAACAAATTTACATCTAGAACCCCATCATCCTGACAAATAATGTACTGACATGTAGTGTAAACACTGACAGTAATTTTGTTACCTCTGGTTCTGCATCCTGCGTCCTGTGTCCCTGATGCGTAAGAATCCCCAAAGACACAAAATTCTTCATGGCATAAGCGCATGCGTCCCCTAGGATGCATAGATGTAGAAAATCCTGTTTGGTGTGATTTCTGTGGCTGTTCTTGCGGCTGCTGTTTAACAACTCATATCTCTCTTACTCTTTGATGTGCTTTACAACAGAAGGAGCATATTTTTTTTTCTGTAATCTGTAAAACAGAGTTTTGGAGTCTGTGATCCAAGCAGCTTTAACTTTTGAACTGGGACTCATTGGTTCTGCACTAGGACTCATGATTTTTCACAAGATGAGTCCCAGGACTCACCAGATCTATTTGTAACTAATTCACTGCTCTGATTTACGTTGTTAATGGCATTTCTGTCACTGAGGCACAGACGTCCTCTTGTGTATTGTTCCAAGCAGTGAGGAGCAAGGAGAGATGGCAGCTATACTGACAAGTGACAAGCTATTCTCTTTGAACATCACTGTCGATTAATGTGCTTGATTTCTTTTCCAGATGTAATATGGGTTATTCTTTGTGTGGATGAAGGCGGACTTTTAGGATTAACACAACAGCTGTCAAGTCTAGGAAGGGAAATGAACACGCATCAAATTTCCAACCCAGCTTCCCCTTCTGCTAATCCATTTCAACTTTCAAGCACCCCCATTGGAACGTCTCCACAACCTATTTATTCTGTTCCCCACAACAGTCCAGCAAATGGCGCATCAGACATAGTACATGTTTCACCCGCTAGGAGATCTCTTTTTAATTCTATGGTAAGTTTATCAAGAGATTATTGTCATCTTTGCTTTATCAGCAAGTTACTCATGCAGGGTTCGTACAGATCATGGGAAACCTGGAAAGTCATGGGATTTAAGAATTTTGTTTTCAAGGCCTGGAAAGTCATGGAATTTAATTTTTGGTCCTTGAAAGTCATGGAAAACTAAAGTTTTGTTTGGTAGATTAGTTACTGCAGAGGACAAAGCAAGGATAAAGTAAGATAAATAGCAGTAATTAAACAGCATCAACAGCATGCATTTTGGTGGATACCAGAGTTTGTTTCTGTTGAACTGTTTAAGGTCAAAAAATATGCTAAAACAAGTAAAGTTTTGAAAATTTTTGAAAGTGACATCTAAACCTAAGGTCATGCAAAACTAGAAAAGGTCATGGAAAAAGTCATGGAATTTGAAGAACTTGAAAGAGTACGAACCCTGTCATGTATAGTGAACTTATATAGAGATTGAAGAGAAGTGATGATGTCACAAAATTAAATTGTGAAATATTGAGGTTGGTTAGCATATCCAGAAAGAACAAGATGGAAACTGTTGATTTGTTAAAGATCAGCCTGTTAGTGAAAATTGGTGGGGAGATAGACATGTAAGCACTAGTATGTTCCAATGACACCATAAAAATCATTTTACATGTAAAATATGCCTGGATCATAATTGTTATGATCCAAGCCATTGTATGTATATCCCCCACTCATGTACACAAACATGCTGATTTCTGGCAAGAGGGCTTTTCCCTTTAGGAGTCTGTGTGGTACTTATTTTTGTTTTGAGGATTTCCAAAAAAATAAATGTGGAATTTTGTTGTACAGTCTAACCTCTCCTTACGGACACCTCTCTATTATGGACAGTTCATTTGGTCCCAGAAATGCCAATAATCATACACTCCCAACCTCTATAACACGGACACCTCTGTAAAGCGGACAGTTTATTTTGGTTCTGTCCCTTTGGTGTCCGTATTAAAGAGGTTTGACTGTATTGTGATTTTTTTGCCATTATCCAAACTGAAAAAGCTCAATGATTTGAAACTTTTTATTGTGTTGTGTTCAACTTTACATTGTATGAGTGTTACCTGGCTGCATACAGTAATGTTATTTACATGTAAGGGTATATGTAATCTTGATATCTCTCCAACTCTACATGTAACTCCAGCATCTTCTTTCATTGACCACAGTCTTTCAAGCTGTATATTTAATTTATTTTACTTGTTTTTATAGGTAAATGGGGACCATCTAGAACCTCTTATATCACCCAGTCTACAAGTTGGTTCAGCATTAAGTAGCAAAGATGAAGAACGTTTAGTCAATCAGCTAAGTGAAACATCACTTTTACAAGACTCAGACCTGAATAATTCGTTATAACAGTAGTCCATGTTTCTAGCTTGCAATAAGCACATCATAGTGACAGAAATTTATAAGTTAAAAAGTTGAATGGCACAGGGACACAATTCATATATGGGAGCATTTAACCACAGGATGATTCCGTCAATGGTGGATCCCAGCTGGAGTTCGTAAGCCATTGTACCTTTAATGATAAAATTTGCATTAATTTTATGAAATGCATGGGCTGAAAAACGTAAATGGGAATTGTTTGGGATATTGACATGTTGAGGTTGTGGTTCAATTTTAAACTTGGTTGAAATTTTAATTCCCTTTGTTTCAAACTCATTATGATACATTACCATGCCCTAAAACATAAGGGAATAAAATTTAAACCAAGCATAAAATTGAACCACAACATTGATTCCCTTTCGATACAGTCTGCCTTTTCGTAATGTTTAACGGTTGTTTATTTGTTTCGTGTTTTAAATTGTTTGCTTTATAAGGCATCCTATTTATGTCATTCACTATTTAGTTTTACAGGAAATTTTATTTTTTGTGACAAATATTTTCTGCCCTTCAGGGTAGGGTAATAGTAAGTTGAAAAGCGGAAAAGCTATTTTGTTGCCAGTCTCTCCAGCTAAAGGAAACAAGCCGTGTATACGACTCGTGTAGAGGGCTGCAGTGGTCTAAAATTTCCTACACCGAGCTCTTAAACTGAGTTTAAACTATGAAGAACAGTTGTTCCTGCTTTCAGTGAATGGAAAATTCACGGTTAAGAAAGCAGGGACACCGCCCCCACCCCACCCCCTCCCCCCTCAGAAGTCCGCCCCACTGCAGGGGAAATAAGACACGTAACGCCTTCTGGGATATCTGTCTCCGATTTTATGTTTTTGGCCATTTTTTTGATTGGGCCTCAGGCAGCCCAGTGAGAAGCAACAGCTAGAAATTCATCTGCATGCACAGGCATTATGTTAAAAATGATAGTTGGTTAATACCGTACAATACAGTCAATTGGTCTTGTCAGAAACTTTAAAAGTTGGCATTTCTACCTAAGCTGTTTTTCAGCAAGTTACAGTATCGTTAATTCCATTGAAAATCTTGCAAATGCAAAATCTAATTAGTTATATTATGTCACGATACCCACTGTCAACACATTTTAAACCTCTCGCAATTTGTTTTTCACGTGTTGTAACGAATTGTAAGTTATTTGCCTTTAAAAGACAAGGTTTCAACTTGAGGCAATAAAGAAATTAATTTTATTTCAAATATCCATGAGTTCGAAAGATCGCAAATTTCTTTGTTAGCTATTGTTAGCCCATTTTTACGCAAGTGGGTTGAACTCCCTCCGTTCCTCGTTTTTCCTCTTAAAAGGGGCGTAGATGCTAATAGAAATTCTCGAGGGGTGTACTCCTGGGAATTCTTGGTGGGGGTGTGCCGCCCGGTTCTCCAAATCCCCCTTTTTTTCTTCGTGAATTTTTCTCCCACGCTCTACTATCTGAACGCCTGGAACAGGCTATCCTAAACGAGACAACGGGCATCCCCGCACGTCTCACCCCCCCCCCCCCCCCCCCCCGCCCCCCCCCCATCTTTTCTATTCCCCTCCACCAACCCCGCTCCATTCCTCTTTTAGCTGAAAAGGGGCGTGGATGTCAATAGAAATTTTCGAGGGGTGTACTCCTGGGAATTCTTGGTGGGGGTGTGCCCCCCGGTTCTCCAAATCCCCCTTTTTTTCTTCGTGAATTTTTCTCCCCCGCTCTCCTATCCGAACGCCTGGAACAGGCTATCCTAAACGAGACAACGGGCATCCCCGCACGTCTCCCCCCCCCCCCACCCCGGCCGTAGGCCAAAGTCAATCTTTTCTAATCCACTAAAGACGACCCGTTCCATTTCTTTGTTATTGTATGCCCACTGTCTTGTTATCGCCACCTTTTTCAGCGTTTTTTAATCACTAATGTTGTTGGTGATTGCGTATGGATTTTAACGTGCGATAATCTTCCTATTCTGGGGGAGAGGTGCAGGCTGAGTTTTTCCTATGATCAGTATACTCTGTGGGGGTGGGGTTGGGAGTAGAGCCTTTGTGTTTTCTCTAAGATGCAAGACATACGCGTCCAGTTCGCACTTTTAGTACGAACAGGGTTATGCGAAAATATTCATTGAATACTAAAAGAGAACACTAAGCTTTCAGCACAAAATAGTGTCTACTTAGTTATTGGAATATATAGAAGAATGGGAAAACCGTAAAATTAACAAATAGAGTCACCCGAACTGGTAATTTATAAAAGTAAGTAAGATGGTTTTGAATTAAGTAATTGCTAAACTTTGAGTTAAAATCCTATAAAGTTTGTAATGCTCTTGTCCTAAGCTCCTTTTCTTTTGGCTTGAGAAAAATCTCCTTGCCTCCAAAGTGGAACTTCCTACTCTTTCATACCTGAGATATTTTGACTATTTTTAGAATGCGAGATTTTCAATTAAATCGTTGCTGTCTCTTTTGCCTTTAGCGCTCTCGGCTATTCGTGTATTGCGGATTCATTAAATTCTGTTAGGTATTACCGAATATCACCTCGAATTCGCTAAATTTGGGCAGACGTGCTCTTGTTTTCTTTGAACTATTCCGGTCTTTTTAAAGACCGGAATAGTTTAGCAGACCGGAATAGTTTAGCAGAAACTACTCTTTGCTCTTTCGTAAAGAACTCTAAAATTTGTCAGACGGTTTTTTCGGTTAATTTTTGAACGCACCCCATACCTCCTGTTAAAACTATATCAATTACCGCCTGAAAGATTCAGTCGGAATTCCCTTTGTTTTTTGCAGTATACAGCCAGTTTAAATAATCCACTTCGCTCAAATTGCGTTTTGTTATACTTGTGTTTTTGGAACACCCCAGAATTGCATGATGCTTGAAAAAAGGCGTCCTTTTGCGAGCGATCTCGATCGAAAATTGTGTATTTTTGTCTACAAATGCGGTAATGACTAATTTTCTCCGATTCACTGCTCTTAGTACTAAACAATGCCCAGAAAAGGCAAAATCACAACTCACTTCAGAAATAATAGAACACATTATCCATCAATGTAAAGAAAACATCCTAAAAGATCGAACTTTTGTGACATAATTAGCATAACTGGTATTTGAATCATTTGCGATCTTACGTTCCAGACGTAATGTCTCCATACGAAGAAGTTTTGAGCACAATAGTGTAGTTTTCACCGATTTTTAAATGTCTTCAAAATTTTAGCGCATTGTTGGATGTCATAGTTTAATTGTTTGATTGTGCCTTAATTTGGCTTCCGAAAAGTTCCAGAGGACGATTTTTATACAAAGAAACAGGATTCCTAAGATTGTTATTGTAAATGCTTTTCTTGTTTATAATTTATCTTGAGGTAATAAATGTGCCACAAAATTGCGCAGGATTTGTAAAATTGTTCCTTTTTGTTATTTTTGAGAAATGTAACCCTATCGCTGTTGCAGATGTGTTATCTAGAAGTTCAACTCCTCAAGAGGTCTTTCCAAAACAGAGCCTTGGGCACTCGGCTGTAACGGAATCATGCGCTCCCATTGGCTAGTTCACATGAGTGGGCTAATCGAACAAAGTGCATGTTTTAGTGTGCATTACATCAGTTCCGTTCTGCCTGAATTTTTCTGGGCGTGTTTATGTAGTCTCTCTGCAACAGGCTCGACGTTCCAGACATTTTATCTAGGCCAGAAGTACAGTGTAGTGAGCATCTTGTAGAGAATGGAGTCCGAGACCGCAGACGCAGTGGTAGCGATGGAAAAAAACAAAGAAACCGAGGACTTGAATCATGTCGAAAATGGCAGCCCTGTTGATGAAGCAGAAATGGTCCGAAACGCAAGTTATTGGGAAGAGATTGATCAAGAAGAAATCGAACGCGTTCGAAGGTATGACATTTGCAGACGTATTAAAATTATTTTATGACTACAAAACTAGATGTTTCATTATGTATGACTTTAGAGAAGTATTTTATACAATGTGTACTTCTAGGTATCCTTAAAAATTCGATCGTTCCAAAGGCTAAACTTTTATTCCCTGTACCATATTGCTGCGATCTTTCGATGTTTCGCAAAATGAATGATTTGTACACACGTCTTTGGTTTAATATCAGAACTGTTTTCTCAAAGTTGTCAAAACACTGTCGCCTTTGTAAGCTAAATATAAAAGCTGCAACTTTTGTGATTTAAATTTAGATCCTGAACTTCAACGAACATGACGACTTGGGTCACATTTTTCACTCAAGCTGACTAATGTCCGATCGATTAAGTTTTCTGTTATGTTGAAAGCAGCACGTTATTTTTTTCGAGCCTTAATGCGTCGCTACGCCAATCAACGATATGAGTACAGTTGTTAATGTTTACAGCTGTACAACTGGGATGCAAAAATATGTCTTTTGTACAAACAGACGTCGAGGAAGCCTCTTAGTGTACATCCAAACTGACTTTTTACTTTTCTACAGGGGTTAATGCAACTTGCTAATCTGCTTTCATTGGATGTGTTAGATCTCCTAGCCCATGTCATAGAATATCATGGTATTTGGCATACAAACGTACATGACCTTTATAGGATATATTTGACTGCCTCACAGTTTGACAGATAATCCGGCTAAATTCAGATCAGTAAAACGTAATATTATTCATTGTCACGCAATCTGATTAGAAAGTTACCAGCAATCCCGTCTCGTGCGCATGGGTTAGTCGCGTGATAATCGACTTTGATGTAGTAACGTTGATTTTGAAGACTGTCATATCAACCTGCAGAATGACGCGCGTTATGGCGAATAAAAACAAAACGTCTTTAAAGTATTATATGCAAATATGGTAATCTGCTTTGAACGCTATCAAAGTAGCGGATAGAGAGAAGTCACAGCGGTATCGATGTCTTCTTTTTCGTTTGTACGTGACGTGAAAGGAAGCTGTTGAAATATTGGGAATTCTTCTTTTTTTTTTTCGTGTAAGGACTGGTCAGTGGCCGACATTTTTGACATTGTAGAGCTGGATCAATTTTCTCTTTGACCTACTGAACAGAATTCT